TGCAACGGAAACCACCTTTCACTTTGCTAGCCACCTTGCTACCGACACAACCTTTAGGTGTTCACAATCGTTGCGTTAGATCGGACAAGAAATGTCCTGCGGCAAGATCTGGGCTCATGCCAAAGAACAGGTCAGCGCTCTGCGAGAGAAACTTGGTGTTAGGTTATGTCGTTTCAAGGTTGGTGTGTAATCAAATCCTTTGGCTCGTTTTCCACTGTATCTGAACAAAGGGTATAGCAAAATGTGGGTGATTTGGAGTTCAACTAGTGTTGACATAGTTCATATGCTTGGGGCAGCGTTGCTCAGTGAATTTGGTCGACACGTTGGATGCCAAAACCAACTGGGGACCGCTTTGAACAAGGCTGACAGACCTGATCCACCATATTTTGTGTACATGTTTGCGTGATGGACAGCTCAGCGACAAAACAGATCATGTGCAAAAGAGGAAGCGGAAAGTTGAGGCGCACCAGTGGAAAGCTTCTATCGTGTCAAGAGATGATTTCTTCGAAGGAACTTGAACCCAAGCAAATTGGAAAAATTCACAATATGTCAGACATTGGAACCAAACCGCTTAGCCAACAGAGGTTGAAATTCCTACTGCGCAAACGCCACGCAATTTGATGGAGATGGTAACAGGGTCGGTGAGAAGGAAAGGCGCGAGGTTGAAGAGTGGCACAAGTGGCGCAGGCGGAGAGAACTGAAGTGACATTGCAGGAGGAGACCTTGTCAAGGGCATGGTTCTGGGTGATCCTTTTCGCAGTGGCAATAGTTCTATTTGGTGTGTTCCTGATCTGGAAGAAGTACAAGAAGCTAGAGAAGAGGATGGAGGAAAACGAACTAGCTTTGAGATTTCAGATCTTGGGATTGAGTTCAGGAAAGGACGAAATTGAGGAAGCCAGACTCGAGTTCAAGTCCTATCAAATCAATCAAGGGCAATTTGATTCAATGAGAGATCATTATTGCCAAAGTCTTCGCAGAGCCATAGTCAAGCAGAACGGCTATGTGGAAGAAGAGGAGTCAATGTCAGAAGGAGAAAGATGCATGAAGTTTCTCGAGAAGGGTAATCAAAAGTGGGGACGAGAAGATGGCAGAGACAAGACAAAATGGAGACAAGAAAGTGAGTGCGAGGAGACGAGACGTCGATCACACAGAAGAGGGGAGGAGGGCGCAGGCATCAAGCTCGAGAGGAGAAAGAGAGAACGAAGAAAATCAGAGCGGCGTGACAACTACAGTTCTACTGTACTGGATGATGGGAGAGAAGTTGAAATTCCAGTGGAACATCTTAATGCAGAAATAGTGCCAAGAACTGTGGATGAGAGGCAGCGCACAGCTCCTCCACCATTCGAGCCACCGGATGAACCAGAAGTTGAAGTTGAAGGACCAGAACGTTCAGACAATGAAGTTGATATGACATGCTGCAGCAATGAGAGCAACTGGACAAGGAGAAACAACAGATGGACCAATAGATGTCGATGAGAGCATCATTGCAGGCAAGAGAAGAGTTGTTGAAACTTGAAGACAGTATCGAGTTCTACAACAGAGTTGGTGACCATGACAGAGTGAAGCTGCGAAAACTCTACGAAGAAGTGCATAAAGGGGTGATTTTCATCACTGACTGATCAAGAGTGTGAGAAAAAAGGAAGAAGGCAGCGGCAGCAATAGTTCCGCCGCCAAAGGAGGAGTACGTAGATATTGCAACCATGCACAAGTAAAACTTATACACTCCGCAAAGCCGTCTAGGTTCAAGAAATGAGCCGCTTTCGCACTATATTATTTTTTAAGCTGTCTACTTTATGTTGTTTTGACTGTTCTTCTTTGTCTGTTTCCCATGTCGTCAGTTTCTTGTGCATCTTTTTTGCAGGTATGGCCAGACGGTGCGCGGTATGAAGGAAGCAACATGCAGAATGTACATCTTTTGAACAGATTCTTCCTTTCCTTGGGTGCACTGTGCAGTGTCGAATTGTGAAGGAAACTGGAAGGACGACCAAGCACATGGTTGGGGAAGGTGGATGTTTGCTGTTTTATATATAACTTCTTCGTTTTTTCAAGAACAAAGACGACTGTGAGGTTCATGCATGCAGATGGCGATGTCTATGAGGGCGAATGGGCCAACGACACCGCTCACGGGTCCGGAGACGGAGAAAAGACGACTTCGTGCAAACGAAAATCGAAAACAAAAACTAGTAGGAACAAGTGCCACGCTACTAGGAACAAGTGCCTTACTAGTAGTAACAAGAAAGCTAGTAGTAACCGTTTGTGGACGACGTGCGTTGTCGCTTTTCGGGCGCAACGGACGGATCCGTGCGAGCCGTGAACAGCAAGTAAGTCGCGGTTTGGACAGCTCTCCGAAGGATTTCCATCGGACAGGGAAGCTGTCCTAAACCAGCAAAAAAGAAAACAATCAAACGGTAGAAGAAGCAATTACACAGTTCAAAAGAAACCAGAGTTCAAACATGTGTCTTTGGTGAAACGAAAGCGGCAACTTGTTTTTGATTGCTTACATTGTGTGTTGTTTCGTTCATTGATGTCGTTTTCTTTGTGTTTTCTTTCTTAAACGTGTTCATTTTTCCCGGTTGCATCAAACCCGGTGACCGTTTTCAGAGCAAACCCACAATTTGACCTTCCCCTCGATGCTGCATGCTGCCCAGGCAAGGTACCTATCACCATTCCGACGGGTAGGGTTCTTGACTGTTTCATTGAGCGAGTGAACTGTGAAGGCGTGTGAATTGATCTTGTGTGAACGCGTGCTGGTCATTTCTGTTTTGGTCTTCAGGTCGAAATATGAAGGTCAATGGGAACACGACCGACAACACGGGCATGGTGCACACCTCGAGCAAGATGAGTTGGAAAAACAATTCTCAGAGTGCATTGATCTTCGAGTGCAACGTGCATTGGATTTTTGTTTTGCATGCCTTTATAAGACTCTTTGTCTCTGGTTTTTCTTTGAACACGAAAAACGGTTTCTCGGCCGAGCCGAGCGGAGTCAGGTGTGGAACATTGGGTCGATGGTGCTCGCTACGAGGGAAGGCACATGGATTTGCGAATTGAAAACACAGTTTGAAAAAATACAACATGTCAAAAGAAGCAAACAAGAATGGCTGTGTTTGTTTTTGGCCATGTCATATGTGCCAGATACACAGCCGGGAAGAAACATGGCAAAGGCTATTTCACCTGGTCCGATGGCTCTTCCTATGACGGAGAGGACGGCTCACACGCTTTCGCCCTCTCGGCCTCTCCCCAGAAACTCGAAAGAAGGAGACAAACGAAAAACCGAAAAAGAAGTGAATAGTAACAACAACTAGTAGGAACAAGTGCCACGCTACTAGGAACAAGTGCCTTACTAGTAGTAACAAGAAAGCTAGTAGTATTAGAAGTGGTTTCGTTTCTTTTCGGAAACAGTTCCTGTGCAACGACATCCACGGCTTCGGGACCTACACCTGGGGAGATGGGCGCCGTTACGAGGCGACGGAAGGGGCGAATTGAAGCGTGTTTTTTGACGGCATAGACATACACGGTGACAAGTACCGCTTTGAGTGCTAGAGGTAAGCAGTTATCAGTCTTCAGGGCGACATGTTTTCGAATTCGGAGGTCCGAACGGAAAACATGTGCTTTGCCCAATTTAAGCCGCCTACTTGACAGATCGCCACTCATCTCGCTAGAGCGATAGAACAATGCAGTGCACGAAAGTATTTGGGCGGGATGATCCCGCACAAATCAGAGTCCCATTTAGCCATATCAGCTGCGTCGAACAGGCCCCTCAACATACGTATAAAGATGTCTCAAAAGAGCATCTCAGTTTAAGTTTAGTTGGTTGTTTTTGTGTTTCTTCATGTGTCTTGTTTTTCTTTTCTCGCTTTCCTACAGTTGAAGAGTGCTACCCTTGTGACAGGGCCACTGGGAAGGCAACCGAATGCACGGAAGGGGGAAGTTCACTTGGCCTGGGACTCATTTTTTTCTGGAGAAAGAACATGAGGAAATAATATTGAACTCTTTTTGTGTTTCGATAAATCTCACAAGGCCAGATGGAAGGGTCTATGAGGGAGACTACATCAACGACATCAAGGACGAAAGGGTGTAGGGTCGGCATCGGTTTGACATGTTACTATATGACACGGTGTTACACCTGGTGAAAACTCGAGATTTTGTAACCAGCTGGGTGTTTTGCGTAGAAGACATGTTGAAAATAGAAGAACGTGTGGTCATACATAAGCTACTAGGAACAAGTGCCTTACTAGTAACAAGAAGCTAGTAGAAACAAGAATTACATGAAATTATAGAACACAAATTAGAATGATACATTAAATACATTTAATTACATTTATACATATTGTGTTCAGTTCACGAGGCATTCCGCGCGCGTGTCACCTTGGACCGCACGAACGCAAACGGGGTGTCGCACTGTTTTTCTCAGCTCCGTGGTTCCGAGCGATCTTCGAATGGAGAGATTCTTTTTCAACAACGTTAGCATGTCTTTTTCGTAAAGAAGAGAGAAGGTAGAAAAAAGGAAAGATGAGGGGATTATTTAGCTGGCGAACATGCGATGTCAATGATCTTTCGCCAGCATGGTGACGGTGTCTTCAAATGGCCGGATGGCCGTGAGTGCGCAGTCGGGTGACAGAAAGTGACGGACCGTCGTTGAAGACGTCGCTGGGTTCGAAAAACACCTCTATTTTGTTAAAGAGAAGTTCTTAGAATAGAAAGAAATGAAAAAAGATGTTGTTATTTTTTCATGTTGCATTCTTGTTCTCTTCGCCGCAGGTATGACGGCCAATGGAGGAACGGAAAGCAGCACGGCCTTGGATGGTGCCGTTGCCGGTCGGACAGGTTTTGGAGCACACCCAGTCAGTGGAGGGCAACACCCAGTCGTGGAGATTTGAAATTCTGCTTCAAATTGCTTCGGGATTTGCTTCGTGTAGAGTGGGTTGTGTAGCCTTATGTAGCTTTGTGGCAGTTTGAGTCCTCTCATTCACAAGAGTGACTAAGTAACCATGTAATTCTGTCATGTATTTTTGTGATTAGTAGCTACTAGGAACAAGTGCATCGCTACTAGTAACAAGTGCCTTACTAGTAGTAACATTGTTTGCTATTAGAAACAAGAATTACATTAAATACTCTCTTAGTCTCTTAGTCTCTTAGTCTCTTCGACTCTTCGACCTCTTCTGTTCACATCGATTTCGTTGACGGACTGCCAGGTCTTCAGTTGGCAACGTGGAAAGACGTCAAGGTACGGTTGGTCTGGATGTCTTGTTACAGGTGCCACGCTAGTAGTAACAGGTGCCACGCTAGTAGCAACAGGTGCCACGCTAGTAGTAACAGGTGCCACGCTAGTAGTAACAG